AAATGATGATTGAGTAAATAAGATATATAGAAAATGAGGAAGTAAATTATACATAAACCTAACTTACCAATCCAATAGTTTTTAGAGGGATCTCCAAATCCTTGTTTTACAATCTCTCCAAGTCCGGTAAAAATCTGTAGACCCTTCCTGTCTTCTTTGTATTGCCTTTAACACATTAATTAACATATAACTCGTTATAAATTCAGCAAACAAGGTACATTCAACATTTGTTCCCGTTGTTTTTTTTTTTATAGGATCTTGACAAAAATACTTTATGTTCTTACTTTATAACAATTGTACTCACCGTCCACCCTCCTCCATCAGTACTCATGTCACAGTAAACAGACTTTACTACTGAGGCTCACACTCACCGTCCACCCTCTTCCACCAGTACTCATGTCACAGTAAACAAACCTTACTACTGAGGCTCACACTCACCGTCCAACCTCCTCCATCTGTACTCATGTCTCAGTAAACAGACCTTACTACTGAGGCTCACACTCACCGTCCAACCTCCTCCATCAATACTCATGTTACAGTAAACAGACCTTACTACTGAGACTCACACTCACCGTCCAACCTCCTCCATCAGTACTCATGTTACAATAAACAGACCTTACTACTGAGACTCACAATCACCGTCCACCCTCCTCCATCTGTACTCATGTCTCAGTAAACAGACCTTACTACTGAGGCTCACACTCACCGTCCAACCTCCTCCATCAATACTCATGTTACAGTAAACAGACCTTACTACTGAGACTCACACTCACCGTCCAACCTCCTCCATCAGTACTCATGTTACAATAAACAGACCTTACTACTGAGACTCACACTCACCGTCCACCCTCCTCCATCTGTACTCATGTTACAGTAAACAGACCTTACTACTGAGACTAACACTCACCGTCCAACCTCCTCCATCAGTACTCATGTCACAGTAAACAGACCTTACTACTGAGACTCACACTCACCGTCCACCCTCCTCCATCTGTACTCATGTTACAGTAAACAGACCTTACTACTGAGACTCACACTCACCGTCCAACCTCCTCCGTCAATACTCATGTTACAGTAAACAGACCTTACTACTGAGGCTCACACTCACCGTCCACCCTCCTCCATCAGTACTCATGTCACATTCAACAGACCTTACTACTGAGGCTCACACTCAACGTCCATCCTCCTCCATCAATACTCATGTTACAGTAAACAGACCTTACTACTGAGACTCACACTCACCGTCCACCCTCCTCCATCAGTACTCATGTCACAGTAAACAGACCTTACTACTGAGATTCACACTCACCGTCCACCCTCCTCCATCGGTACTCATGTCACAGTAAACAGACTTGACCTCAGAGCCTACGGATATTCTGTATACACCATCTCTTCCCTTTAAACTTGGGAACTTCTTTAAAATTTCTCCACAATCCTTCAGAAGCACTATGTGAGAGAAAATAAAATTGTTGCATATAAATGTTAAGAATTTTTGTACACTTCACTATTTATCAAACAATACTTAGGAAATTGTAGAATGGCTGTCATTGAAGGGAGATCTAATTAGGGTTTTGTCTGCTATATCAAATCCTTTTCTTTTTGGAAATAAATATCACGAAAACCAAATTCACATAGTATCTTTATCTGCAAACTTAAACCACAAGAGGCATTGCATTTTGGATACAGATTAACAATACATACATCTTAATACATTTTCAGTTGTTTTCTGTGATAACCCTTTTAGAGTTAAGTATGTTGATTTCTCGATAATTACAAATACATGTTAATTGATTTTGCAAAGTGAAAGTTCAAAAGACTTATCCGCCTTCCCACCAGTATTTGTTCAAAATTTCTATTGGGCATAATTTTATTTTTTTAGTTTTTAATTACGAACCTATGTGAATATGTATTTCCTCCCCCCCCCCCCCCCCAAAAAAAAACAACCTGGATTGCCACTTTTGCTTTTTGTGTTGACCCTGAGGTCCTAGCAGTAAATATATAAGCGAGGTTAAACCGGATGCCATGGGCAAACGACAGGCTACGCATGCCCGAGAATGCTGGAGAGCTCGCACCTTTGGTAACTTGCCCGGTGAATAATTTGCCCGATTCGAATAAGAATATGCCATTTATTGGCCAATCGCACTTTAAATAATCCGCATATCGCATTTACATACTATTCATTGGCTGATCTGAATCTCCCTCATATACATATACTTCTATATACAAACTAAACTTTGATTCTATGGTACAGGCATTTTAAAAAGTAGGAAGAACTTGCAGTATATAGATACATGTAACTTAACAACTTGAATGAAAAACGTCATTCAACGACTAGTTCAAGCTTTTAAAAGATAGAAAAAGTTTTCACTGGCATTAGTTTTGTGCATCAAGGCTAGCAAAATAACTTTTTATTTCAGCAATCCCATACCGTTTGATAGATGTCTATATGTAGAAACGGCTTTTAATGTGTGTGTGGGGGGGTGGGGGGTTCCGACAAAAAAAAACTCTGCGCGCTACAGAGCTGTGATACACGTGAGCCATCAGATCTCTAATTTTCCCTTTATAGATTTCTTCCGCACAAATCCAGAACAGGTACGTGTCAAGTCCCAGCCATTATAGGTTACATATATCAAAATAGCCCAATTTTTGAAACAGACAAAACTAAAGACCCTTAATCGGAGATAAAGGATGACTGCACTTAAGGATATGCCAAATTTGCGTCGAAATAAACTTTCAAAAACAGACATTTTTCTTTCAATTGCAGAAATGATCAACATCTAATCTTCAATTTTACTTAATTACAAAAAATAAAAGTACGCGCAGGTATGTTAAGGAAGCATACAAGTCATTTCTGGGGAAAGTTAGACTTTTTAAAGAAAATTAAGTTTGATAAATTACCACTACCGCTGATAAGGGTAAACTGTTATTTACTATTGCAAACAGATAGAAGAGTGTCTAACGCAAAGACGTACACCATCGCTGCGGCACCACGTGACTTCTATTAATAGCAAAATTTTCTTTATAAAAAAGTTAACAACAATACCCCGGAGTTTAATACTTTCTTTGAGTAAATAATATAGATGAAAAATATTTATTTTGCCTGAAAAGTGCTGCTAGAATCCCACTGTCCTGTCAATAAAATAATTATTTCATATATTCGCACGAAACCCTTCCCCATGTTTTAAATTTTATACATATGAACCGAGATTTTTCGTAAAATCATGTTTTTCTCGGGATTCTAGCAGCACTTTCCAAGTTTGTCAGAGGGCAAACTTAATTTCCATCTGTACAAATCTTATGTTTTGAAATATCCGGCTTATTGTTGTTCTGTTGCATTATTTTTGTCACAATTGACAGAGGAAAGGCCGACCGAGATAAGTATAGAGCTGACTGTGTTCGAAGGAGAATATAATTGATGAAAATAAATTAGCATACCTGTTTTATTAACTGAAGTCCATCTGACTTTCACATAATAGCGAGTGCAGCGAGCGTCGCGAAGCGAGCTCAATAGACTAACGTGTAAGAACAGAGGAAATTCGGATTGAAATCTGTACATACGTCAGCCAAATTTCTCTGTGCAACATTCCCAGAATTCCTGCACTACCCAATGTCCTTTGCGCGAATATTGCCGAATAAATAAATAAATAATGACGTAAAGCATATATCAGACTTTCAGTTTGTAGAAATCTTTCAAAGAAACAAGAAATAACACTGCAATGTTTTTCGACAAAAATTGCACTTGTTCTCTAGTTTCAAACAGACGCTCGGCAGTCTCCGTAAGCTCCGACGAGCTTTGTGACGTCGTATGACGTCACAGGTAGTCGAGATATCTCGTGCGGCTTGACGTTCGAAGTGGCTGATCTCAAGTGTTTTTGATGGTACAACTGCGCTCGCCCCAACGGTCACACCGTGAAACATATTATTCACGATATTTGCATTTAATATCCATTTTACATATCTTTGTACATGCCGTCGTAGCCAAATTCTCTTTACACGACATGATCGATTCCCAAGTTACTTGAAGTACGCATATGACGTCATCGGTGGTAGATTTAAATCAAAATGACAGAATATAGCATAAGAAAATAAGAACATTTTATTTTTGTTATTGTTTACACGTTTCTATTCATTTGCTAGAGTTAAATTACATCTCTAAATACCAATATTACTAGAACTTGTGTTCTAAATTTGACGTCATCTCGCCTACTATGACGTCATCATGTAGCACTGATTTAGTCAAGGTAGAATATTTTGTATGCTTCCTTATTCCCCCTGCGCGTATTTACAATGTACGAATTTCTTAGGTCGGGGTCAACACCATTTCTTCTATCTCCCTACGATAATGAGGACGCCCACTTTCTTTACCGACTTAATACATCGTCAGCGCATGTTTGTCCACTGTTCTCATTTTAACAGTAGTTGTGCAGTTATTTGCATAAGTAATATTGTATTATAAGGAAATTAATAGACAAACATGTGCTCATGGTTAAAAAGAGAAAAAACTGCTTCTTCTTACACTCGCTCTCTCTGTTGTAACCAAGGGCTGTGACACGTTAAATATTATAATTCACCAACTGATATCTTTCATCAGGTAATTTTGTGAATACTAAATTTCTTCACGTGACATTGATAGCATTTTTTTGTGATAACTAGGACACTGTTCGAACACGTTGAATAGTCAGCCATCGATTTAAAATATTCTTTACTTACATAGATGGGCTCATACGTTTTAAACCTTTGTAAATAATGTGCTTGTGTCATATAGAATAAATAGTAATATGGAAAATAGAGATCTAGATCTCGTATTTTTTAAAATACGAGGGTTGTCCCAAAAAGTCGTAGACAATGTTTATAACATTTTTAACACGCAACCAATACGGACCAAATTTTGCATAGACATAATACATTCATTGTTTTTTTTAATTGTGAATTCTTAATTATATATCTTTCATATTGATTATATTGGGACGATTTATATGAAGGCCGATATGGTCTGTTGGCGCACGACCAAAATTCGGAATAATTGACGCATATAACTATTACATTTGCTTTTATTTCTTTGGAACTATGTAAAAGATTGAATTAAAATTTAAATCACTGAAACCAGAATCAAAATCTTTATAATGTGTCAAATTTTCATATAAATATCGTTAGAAACAGAAGACTGGTGGCATGATTTTCGAAGTGATGTTCGAATTGAGATTGATGAAAATGACGTCGTTGAAGGCGAACGCGGCTCACGGAAATGTAACAAATTGTTCATGGTATGCTTTATATTCATCAGAGACGGGGAAAATAGTACAGAAAGGACATTACACACTACATTTTAATAGAAAAGTTTTTTAATAGTATAAGATTCAAAGATAGTTTTTCCTCTTTAGAAAAAAAAGTAGTTATTGCATGTTAAGAAGAGTACTGATTGTTTAACGCAGACATTTGGGAACGTTCTGGGCCATGAACGTCGTCAAACAAGGTGTATTATCTGCTGCCTAAAATGTAAGGTGATCTTTCAACTAATTTAATTTTGACAAAAATTTGAATCTGCTTAAGAAAACGAACAGAAGTGAATTTAAATTATTCCCTTAGTCAAAAGTGGTTTTTCACTATAATAAATATTCATTTGGATGTTAATAGCCTCAAGTGAAGCAGAAAAAGAGATCATGACGTTATGAGAGACGTAAATTACGTTTGCTTTCGTGCGCCGATGTACACTTACATGGTTTCTTTATTTTTTCATAGTTTTCTTATTAAATGTGGTATAGTCATGAAACTTGATATAAGTGATCTTACAATGTTACTCTTTGCTATGACAAGAAAAGAAATTTGATTTCGCAAAGAGAAAATAAACTATGTTCCCTGTCTTCGACTTTTTGGGACAGCCCTCGTACATTTCATTGTTATTCATCTAGTCTAATTTTTTTAGATCAATTCTTACGATGTTAGCTCCTCCTCTCATACATACATAATGTTTAATCAAGGGCAGGTAAGTGTTAATTCTCCGCATTCGGAGTTCGTAAGGACAAAAACATGAAATGAATTATTGTATTACAGTCTAAAATTATTTTTATTTTTAACATTTAAATCAGGTGACAAATGGACATACTTCTGTAGTAAACATATAAAAGTGAAATTAAGCTAACCTTTAAAAGCAACAGAAGCGATCGAAAAAGACCCGAAACACAGCGTTACGTGCAGTCATCCTTCAACAATTTTGCTTTGAGACTACACAATTAGTCATAAGTAGGCAGATCATTGTGAAAAATGTGAACAAACCTAAATGAATATTCACTACACCTGGTAAATTTCTTAAGGGTACTTACCACAAACAAAAATTTGATGCATGGATTGATATATATATATTTTTTACATGATTTTGATTTGAAATGACATAAATAATAAATCCCTGAAATATTAAGAAATGGTAGGATTTCCTAAGTGCTTATATAAAAGTTTTTGTTCTGCCTTCTTTATAATTCCATAAAAATTTTTACATCAAACTTTAACCTTATGACGAAATCTTACAAAATTTGGTCACTATACTTGGTAAACATTATTAAGGCTACCAATTTAAATGTAAATCTATGAGAAACATAGCTGGTTTCTGAAAATATTTTGTTTGTGTTATTTATCTTTAATATTGAATTTCGTTTAGAAAAACATGCATATGGTCCACGTATTGCAGTCCTTTTATTTTAAAGGACAGCAACATGTCCTTATATTTGTTACGAGTTGTTGTCAATATCATACATATTTGTATATTTAATTTTATGAGCCAATTTCTGATTCTGTCAATCAAGATAGAACTAATTAAGATAAATTTAAAAGTTCTCTTTATAAGCATTGGAATTCTTAATTAATAGAGTGAATAATTTTAAAAGAAATTTTAAAAGCATGGATTTGTACTAAAATGAAAAAAAGTGTGATCAATTAAGTCCTGTGTATAATATTCCAGAGAAAGAAACTATTTTAAAGTATCTGAGTCACCAACAACTTATTGATTAACAGATTGATAAAAAAAAGATTCAAATATTATTCTGAGATTAATTGGACGATGATTAAACATTTTTTCTTGTGTAAACTTCTAAAAAATATCACATTATTACAAAGCCAAATGTGATAACAACGCAACATGTAATAATCTGGAATAATAGCGTTTTGTGTTGTTTGATTTTACATTAAGATACACGTAAAATTTAAAAACACATATAGAACAATACGATTTTTGGATTCTAACATTTTGCTTTATTACATTTTGTGTTGTTCTCAACGCACAATGTACTACATGCACTTATTGGTTTTTACATTATGCATTCCTTTTTGTGTTGAGAACAATGCAAAATTCAATTAAACAATAAAACAAATTGTAATGAAAAAAAATACATTACATAATCTAAAACACAAAAAATGATTTAAACATATACCAATTAATTTACTGACTTATCTACTTATACACTAGTATCAGTCTGTATCATTTATCCATCACTTACATTATTTATCTCCATAGATTGACCATGGGTCTATGAAAAGCTCTTCGTATGCATGTACCACGTGCAAGCTTACATTCGTAAGGGAATTAGAAGTGCACGGAGAAGTGGAGGTAGGGGTTACTTTGTATGGTGATCATTGTATTTTTATGCAGAAATCTTCCATTTCATTAGAGACAGAGAGAGTAAATTTAATTTCTCTGGTCTGCAATGCACATATTTTATTAAAGAGTATGAAATCTTAATCGTCAAGAAATCCCCTTCCCGTTAAAATAAGCATATATTTGTTTTTTTCCTTTTGTTTTTTTTCCCGTTTGATTTCTGAATTCGCTACTCAAATGAAATTTATTCTCAACCTCACTGACCAAAAAGTCACAGTTTGCTTTCTTGAAGTTTGCTTAATCTCGACATAAAAAATAACAACTCAAAATGCAATAATCTAAAAATCGAGTTTTTACATTTTGCGTCGATTTCGACACAAAATGTTATAATTCTATAAAGTCTGTTTTTACATTTAACGTTATTACATTATGTGCTGATATCGGCGCAAAATGTGATAATGCAAAATACAATTATCCCACTTTATCAAATTACGCATTGTAGCATTGCGTAAACGATTTCATAGCAAAATCATACCTATATTTATTAAAGATACTTTAAGAGCTTATTCTAACCTATATTAAAGTTTGTTCAAATCATTGTTCTTCAAATCCAGTTTTACAATTTAAACTTGAAAGAGAATGTAATAGTATACCTTTTGACAAGATCCAGCTGGATTCATTCACATCCCCACAAACAGTGCGTAGAGTTTCATTTACAGAAACGGTGAAGTTTTCTAAAGCGTACTCTGTCTTTTTCACAAATTCAAAAAAACTGCTTACGCTGCATTTCTGTAATGTAACATTCATTGCATTCATTTGATATTGGAGCATTTCAATTTGCGGGCTTTTAGCGGAAACCATTTGCGATTCATTTAAAGCCTTTATTTTCTCGTTTGTCTTCTGTTCCGTCATCTTCAAAGTCTGTATGACTTTTTTCAGGTCACTTTCCATTGTCTTTTTTGACAAATTAAGCTGTTCTTGAAGACCTAAAATTTTGTTTTCAATCATCTGGTCAAGATACTGAATTTCTTCCTTTGTAAAGTTTCTATTGTCATTCACTGTCCCGTACACTACCTTTAATTCTTCTTTTAGTTTGATATTTTCTTCCTCAATATTTTGGCTTTTAGTCTCCAAATCCTGCAGTTCCTTTGTCACCTCACTTAGTTTTGCCTTGATAACCTGTCCATCCTTTTTGCTGTCTATGGCATCCATCACTAAATTCTGTATTTTTTGCACCATAGAGAAGCGGACCAGACTTTCCTGATTCAGAATGTCACGTATGACATTAGAAGTCTTACCAGATACAGTACTAGGGAGCAAGCCATTTTTATCAGAAGCTTCGTTTTCAAGTAAAGATAAATCACCAAGTGTTCCATACATGAACATAGAAAGAATAAAACAAAATACTTCTGGAACACCCATCTTTGCAGTAAAATATCGTTTCATGGGTGAGGGGGCTCTTATATATTGTACAACAATGGCGGTTGGCAATTAAATCAACTCATGAAGCACTGAAATAGTAATTGGTTGTTTTTTTTTTTTTTTTTTTTTTTTTTTTGCTTAAAAGAATAATTTGATTCTCAAAAGACTTCCAAATAACAGTGTAGTCTTTCTCCTAAGTGAAACAATGCAAGATCCAGTGTATAATTACTAAAAAGAGTTGTCACAGGAAAAAATGGGTTGTTACTTGACTTACATAAATAATGTAATATTTTTCCAAAGTGAAAACGCTATCCCGCATATGAAAAGTTTTGAAAAATTGAATCTAAAAAAGGAAGAAAAGATGTGTAAGTGTGTTTGTTGAAAAGAAATAAAAAGATACTTAAAAATTGATAATTGAGAAAATTGTTCACAACATTGTATGCTTAATCTGATATAGTACTTGGTAACAAATAACTTTTATAGATATCTTTTCGACAAATATAAATGACTAAAGTTCCATTCATGTAAAGCAAGTGTTTTAATGTGATACTTCTGATATAGTACTTGGTATCAAATAATTTTATAGATATATTTCCGATTAATATAACTGACTAAAGTTCCAATCATGTAAAGCGAGTGTTTTATTGTGATACTTGAACAACTCCTAATTGTCAGTAACCTTTGATATTTAAATTGTTTACATAAAAATGACAGTTAGATATTTGATAAAAAATTCTTTGATTCAAGATATGTTTACAATTTAAGTTTTATCAATACATATGACTAATGGCTGATGTAACCGCGGCATAGTGGTTACTCCTCCTACACATATATTTTCCTATGAAAAAAAGACCTGAAAACTGAAATGAAAAACCTTTGTCAAAATATGACCTAATTATTGATTGTACTAACAACGTCATAAAACTGACAATAGACTTTACAAAAAATCTCAACTTTAGAGAGATTGCCGAGATCCTCCAAAGTATCTCTCAGTAGCCTGCTTCAGTTTGAGACATGGCCGGACTTAAGGTTCTATGATGTCAGTTATTTAAAATTCAAAAGCATAATAGTAACGTGTTTACATAATATGAATATAAATAAATATTGTTAATTATAAAACGTCCTCAAATATCTGAACATCGTTTTAATGGTCATAGTAAATTTTGTTTTTTTTTTCATGTAAGAAATTTGAAAAAAAAAATCGGCATTCTAGAAGTATCAAAGAAGGTAGGCTAATAAAGGAGCACAATTAGTGCCCATTGAAATCCTGAAGATAATTGGAAGACCTATTTACCGAAGGCTACATGAATATTGTAAATGGAAATTTCCCAGATCCTTCAATATAAACATCTTGATGTTACTGATTTCTGAAAAAAAATAACGATTAAAAATTTAAAATTTTTTAAACGTTTTTTGGGAGGTTTTGAGAAACAGGGTAAGTCTAAAGATTCTCCTTCACAGAAGTGAATATTTTTGTAAGGAATTAAAGGAAGGGCGGTGTATATCATTTTCTTTCATTGTTTGTGAGGTTTTTTAGGAGGTTTAGGAATCAAGCACGTATAAGCAAGGTAGATTAAACCCATCCTGGTTGACTGCAACGTCAAAAGTTGTGATTTTGAAGATTTTCACCTTTAGAAAGTGAACTGTGAGTATAAGCGGTATGCTACCCTGGTGCTGAACAAACTTTTCTCCTAGACTGGAATTAAAAACTGTTCAATTTCTGGCATTACAACACACTTTGAAACATGCTGAGGAAGAACACCCCCCTCTACTCTTGACCAAGTAAAGTTAAACAATCTGCAAAGAGTTGCGTGAAGGATATGGAGATAACGAACAGTATTCAATCTCAACGTCCATTAAACAAATATACAAAATAAGAGCAGAGCAAACACGGACCTCCGAAACATCAGAGGTGGGATCAGGTGCCATGGAGTAGTGAGCATCCCCTGCCGACCGGTCACACCCGCCGTCTGCTCCTTGTCATAATCAGGAAATAACGGAAAAAATCCGTGGTCAATTCAGTGTATAAATAATGGACTAACAATTGGTATGAAAAACGTCAGTCAGCATTTCATTCAATGATAAATTGTATTTGCTGACAAGGTCATTGTATCGGCCATAGAATTTACGAAATGATGACTTTAAACGAGACTGTTGATTTTCTTGTTTCATCAACTTGCTTGTCAATAATTTACCTCGTTTAAGAAATTGTTCATACGTAGAGCATGCTCTTGCGTATCGAATCAACTGAGATATAAATACTCCGTATGCAGGTGATGAAGGTATATTGCTACATAAGTAAGGGAAGTTGACGATAGAAAAGTTAAAGTCATCACGTTTATCATATAGCTTGGTTGTTAGATTGTTAGATTTGAATTGAAATTTTTCATTCTTTTACCAGGAATGAACTACATTATTCATTTACTATGGTTTTATGTCAGAATTGTCTATTTTAAGTTTTTTAAAAAAGATTTTGTTGCCATGGTTGGGAAAAAATTATCATAAATGTTATTGGTTCATGAATTTTATTCATTCATGAACATTCCTGAAAAAATTCATCAAATTATTCATGAACAGTTCATGAAGATCCAATGTACTTATTATTGGACATTCTTGAAATAATGAATCTTCATGAATATCTTCATGAATATGACTATCCATGAATTATTCATGAAAAAAAATATTCATGAATATTCATTAATTTTCTTTTATGAATAAGAATTCATAATTTAAAAATGTCCAATAATAAGTTCATTGGATCTTCATGAATATTTCATGAACATTTCATGAAAAAAATGCATGAAAAATTCAAGGAAATTCATTCATGAATTATTTATGATCGTCTTGCAAGGGGAGTGCATATACCTCATGAATCTTCAAAAATTTAATTCATTTCTTATACTGCAGTATTTACATAATTTTTCTGACGAATTACCACAAAATAAGCCATTAAACTGCATTAAATTTTTTGACGTCAAGTACGGTATTATGACGTAACAATTGATATATTCATGCTCATCCATTGTAGTTCATGAGAAAATATACAACACTAATTTTCACAGAATCTTAAGGAAAAATATTTTAAAATGTAAATATTTCTAAATCGTCTTACAATCTGAAAATTCTTTTTTGACTTAAATGTCTTCCAGAACTTTAAAATGATATTTTGTTGCACCACAACATTTTTTTCTGTCGCACTCATAACATTGCATAACCATTTTTCAAAATCAGCCTTGACCACAACTTGACACAACAATAGGAAATACAGTCCACATTTAAAGCTCTGTACTTTGAATATAATTAGGAAGTTTTATTTCCAACATTAATCTTTCACAGATCTTTAAAAAAAAGTTTTGAATTTTCAAATTGTCTCAAAAAATTGTTGCATTCTGACATTTTAACATCATTTTTCTGCTCTTTTTTGTGACTTGGGATATCAATGAGATATATGTAGCAGGTCTTTAGACAATAAGACATATGTTGAGACATAGAAATTTATTTCCACTGTTTGAAATTTTTGTACAGGATGATAAATACGTGTCTGTTCATTTTTTTTAATTCACCCAGTAGTGTATTGCTACATTAACAAGCATTCTGAGAGAATTGCATAAGCAATACATATCCCCTACTGGGTTCCCACTTTTCTTTAGGATGTCATTTTATAATATGCAAAAGTTAAGTCCAAGGTAGAAATGCATGCTTTTTAGGTTGTGAATCAATGAATTAAACCTAATAGATTAATCCGCATTAAGACGACAATTTAATTCATTTGTCCAACGTCTTTTTCTCGTTTCATATTTATGTCGACCATCGGAAGTTAGCGCAGCACGAACCCGATCTTAATTAAAAGAATGTTAAAAATTCAAAATTCAATAATTCTGTCAAAAATCAATGAAGCTGTGCGAAATTCAAACTTGACCTGTAACTCATCAAGATACACGCACATACCAAAATTCAGATCAATATCTGCAAGCATTTAGAAAAAAGTGCGGGAAACCAATTAGGACAAACTGACAGATATACAGGGACAGACAGCTAGACGGACGGACGTACATTCGCAGAGGAAACCTATAGTCCCCTCAGGTTTCACCGGTAGGGGACTTATAAGGGAAGTTGACAATAAAACAGTTTACGACTTTAAGTTCAACAAAGTTTTGTGTTAAATTAGTACCCTTTTTAGTAAAATATCCAAATGACTCTATAATTATATTAATTTCAATGTTTATCGGAAACGAGCCTTTTATAAAACTAATGTCGAAATACACAGTACCTGTATCTTACTTCTTTTCTGAATGGTCGTGCAGTGTACGTCAGTGCATCGAAAATTCAATCACACCTCAACGCAAGTTTAAAACTTGTCCAATTGACCGAGCGGTCTAGCACGCTGTAAACTGGTAGATGAACTAAACGACTAACATGAGTACTACGGCTTTTAGGAGGAGGGTGTGGGGTTTTGTGACAGAGAAAAACATCTCATACCTAAATGATTTTTTTGCAGTATTCCAATCTAGACAAATTAGTGATCAAGCGTAGACAAATAATTTTAAAGTAAAATTCTAAAAAAAAAAATGTGGGTATTTTCCACCCAACCTCGAAAATAGTCCTGGATCTGCGCATGTTCAAGTGCATTAAACTCAATACACCTAATCATAAGACGACACCTAGTGATAAGTATCCTCTACTGTCTTCTTAGGCTTCTGAATATTTTTAAAACTGTTTTCCGTGCTCAAGCTGGTCAGGTGTGTAGATTTTCTTCTGATCACCCCCCTCCACCCCGTCTGATGTAATCACAGTAACTCAGTAACTTTTGATGCCCCTTGCTTCCATATCTTAGAAATAGAAATTGCGAAATAATGATATTTTTTTCGCTTTTCTTCTTGTTAGTTAGGACTTTTTCAGCATTTAATTTTGAATGTGGTCTTTTTCAGCATTTAATTTTGAATGTGGTCACAACTGAATTCATATGAATAACATTTGTTTTATATTTTTGTACTAGTTAATTCAAATACCACGCAGGCCGTTCATCAAATACAAAGTTATACTTGCATTGCTTTGAAACTATAAATATTTT